CTTTGCCAACAAAACCCAACACCTTCACCCCAAAATGTTTTTGTATTCGTTCATATTTCTTGTGCAATGTGTAGTACAATATATATACAGCTTTAGTGACAAAATAATAAGAGGTAATAATGATCCTATACTAATATACAAAAATCTAATTGTCTACTTGAGATATGAAGTGAATTTCGGTGGAGGTGTATTAGTGGTGAGTAATTAGCGTTGTTTGGAGATATGATACTATATGTTTAGTGGATGATGAGTGGGCATGTTTGGTGGAAGCTATGATAACTCTTTAATATGCCCCCGCAAGATGGTGGCCCCATCAGAGATACCAATCTTGGATTTGAGTAGATGGAAAACGTTGACGAGACAAAGGCTTGGTCAAAGCATCAGCTAATTGATCAATAGTAGAAACATAAGAAACTTGAAGAAGGCCACGAGTCACATGATCACAAACAGATTGAAAATCTATGTTGATGTGTTTCATGCGGGAGTGAATAACAGGATTAGTACAGTAGAAAGTAGCTCCAACATTATCATAGGAAATAGTGGGACTAGTAGGAAGTGAGACACTAAGCTCACGAAGTGGGACTAGCAGTGCAAGCGATGGCATAATACTCAGCCTCAGTAGATAAGCGAGGAACAGAACACTGTTTGTGGGAACTCCATGAGATTAAATTGCCACCAACATAAATAAGATAACTAGTGGTGGAGCTGCGATTATCACTATTAGTGGCCCAGTCCGCATCAGAATAGGCTTGTAAGGAGAGTAGACGAACGACGAAGAAATAACCAATGATAAAAAGTGCACTTTAGATAATGAAGAAGTCTCTTGAGGGTCTGCCAGTGAAGTTGAGAGGGTTGATGTATGAATTGAGAAAGCTTGCTAACGGCAAATGCAATGTCAGGACGAGTAAGTTTGAGGCATTGGAGACGACCAACGAGTTGTCGAAACATGGTAGCATCAGTTGGAGGAGAACCATCATGAAGGGTCAGGGGATCAGAGGTGGACATTGGGGTGCTGACCTCCTTAGCGCCATCCATACCAGCTATAGCTAAAAGGTCCCTGATGTATTTGTGTTGGGAAAGAAATAATCCACTAGCAGTAGGCACGATCTCAACACCAAGAAAGTAGTGAAGAGGACCCAAATCTTTGAGCAAGAATCGTTGGGCAAGGTCATGAAGAAATTGAGACAGAGTAGATGAATTATTTCCTATAACAATAAGATCATTGTTGAGGTCCAAAAAATCCACGGTTGGGCCCGAATAAATTTTCGGCCCAATATGACACATCATTGAGAAAAAACCCAATTTGGAGCAAGCAAAAGTCTGTCATGCACGAATCACACTCCACGTGTCATGCCAAATAAATAATCCATCATGCTAGGAATCGAGATTAAGATTATAAAATGCATTAGCTCTGCAAATCCATGCTAATTATCCCCTCAAGCATAATAATTAAAAGCATGTCAAGCGACATGTCATGCCAAGCAGGAAATCATTATTGCACACACAACCACGCTACAAGCCTAAGTGGGCCCAAGTCACTCGAATGCCCGGGGGCTTGCTTGAGTGGATTGTGGTATGGATGGTAATAAGTTGTCATGAGGTCCATTGATGGGCCAAGAAATGGAGGTTCCGGGTTGTTTGGGAGCCTCGGAACTCAAGCCCATTTCTTAGGCCCAAACATGTGGGTAAGCGCAAAGAAGAAAGTAGTCCATTACCTCAGCCAAAATAGCCTATTAGATTAACCAAAATAGCCCAATACTTGATATGGTTAGCCCATTTGTTTGATGAATTGACTTGCTGTCTTAGAAGGCCCATACAATTAGAAAAAGAAGCAGCAAAAGCCTTAGCACTTGGCTGGAGAACAAAGCCACGAAGGGAGCTTGGAGGTCCACGTGCGCAGAGTTGTTGGGAGGCTCCAGCACATGGGGAAGAACAAGTTTCAGGCAAAAAACATCCGAAGGACCAAAGGATTTTAGTGCGCAGGCTGCCAGGAGGAGAGGCACTCTTCGAACCAGCATGTATACCCATTTTCTTTCCTTCATCAGATCTAGCCATGGAAGGAGGAAGGAAAGAAAAAAGGGAAATAATTAAGAATGAGAGTCTCCCACTGAAACAGCTACGGGAAAGGGCCTTGTGCACCCAAAAGTCCCTGATTTTGTGCAAATGGGCAGAGAGAATGTCACCAAGATGGGGAAAGTCAAGGAAGGGAGAAGAAAGAAAGGGAAAAGCTTGGCCAAATTGGATAGAAACCATTAGGATTTCTTGGAAAAGAATAGCTTCCTACAGCTATAAATAAGACCTCTTCTTCCCAATAAAGGGACAACCACATCCAGAGAGCAAGCTTCCTCTCTTACCTCAAAAACCCAGCAATTTCATGCTCAGTTCATCCTTCTCCCCCTTGTTTTTCCTCTTGGTAGATCGTTATGATATTTGACAGAACCTTTGTCGAGCTGCCGAAAAAAACACTTAAGCCACCCATTGCCTAGCCTCTCTCCTCTTCTCAACCAAAAGCTCTGATAATCCTTTCCTCCTTTTCCTTAGAACCCTTTTTTTTTTCATAGAA